CTGAAGAGAGGAACTGTTTTCCAAAGTGGAGTTTTGGGAAACGTGTTTCCTTGGAAGGAATGTGTTTTTAAGGAAGTTTTGTTAAACTCTTGTGCTTCTTGTATGTGGATAGAGCTTTGCAACTTATTAGGAAAAAAACTGGGAAAAGCAGTTTGTAACCTTTAGGAGTGTTTGGCAAAACCTTCAAGTGTCTGAAAATAAAGCCCCTTATATCCTCATTTTTTCATTGATACTACTTTGAAGTTTGAGGGAAGACCCTCAAAATTCAGTTTGCACCAAGAGTATACATCAGCTGTTGATACATCTGTTGTGCCAATAGTCTAAGAATCATAGAATGGCTTGGGTTGGAAAGGACCTTAAGATCATCCAGTTCCAAGCCCTTGCCATGGGCAGGGACACCTCACATGAGACCATGTCACCCAAGGCTCTGTCTAACCTGGCTTTGAACATTGCTAGGGATGGAGCACTCACCACTTCTCTGGGCACCCTGTGCCAGTGCCTCAGCACCCTCACAGTAAGGAACTTTGTTATATCTAACCTGAACTTTCTCTCTTTAACTTTGAACCCATCTCCCCTTGTCCTATCGCTGCAGGTCCTAATGTAGAGTCCATAGTCCTAAATATGCCTTTTCTCTGGTAAGCATCTAAGTATGCTACAAGTGGTCTTCACATGATCTAGAGTGAGGTGTCCCTGCCCATGGCAGTGGGGTTGGAACTGGATTATCTTAAGGTCCTCTCCAGCCCAAACCAGTCTGGGATTCTATGATTCAAGTGGGAAATGCTGAGCAAAATTATTTTACTCCTGCAAAGAGCAATTGGTGTAGGTTGGAGGAACTGAGAGGAGGTCCCAGTGCCTCAGAACTTCCTGTGCTGGAGACGAGGAAAGTCAAGGAGAATAGGGAGCAATATTAATGCACAGTGTAAAAGAAAGATCTTCAGCAGTTGAAAGGAGAAGGAGCTGGAAAAAGACAACTGAAAGCAACAGTGGATTAGTCAGATGTGTGGGAAATGGTATAAAAACGCAAAGCTCCCGGAAGTATTATGTCATAAAATAAATGATTCATTTTATAGCTGGTTTGGTTTTTTGTTGTGTTTGGGTTGGTTTTGATCCTTACATTTCTTGTGGCTGTGGCTCTGCTGTTCTGAGACTAATAATTTTGTGTCTGAAAGCTAGTAATATCTGTTTTAGGGCAGTAAGGAACTTGCCCTGGTGAGAAATGATCCTGTCACAGGTTTACCATTTCCATGTAGGTGTAGATTAACCTTGACTCAAGTGATGGCATCATGAATCACATTGGTGGAGTTCTCTTAAGATAGCTATACTTCTGCTATCATCATGTGTCTCTTGTTCCTTGGTGTAGAACAGACATAAACCCATTTCTGCCTTTATATTAGGGATGGAAATATTAATTGTGTAATTCCACTGTCATGGAACTCCCATGGGGAAAAACTAGGACTTTTATATTAAGTGAAAGGTTTGCATGATCTCATGTGAATGTGGACTCCCACATTCATGATGTACATAGCATAATAATAACTCATTTATTGAATAAGGCAGAGATTCTGCTTGAGAGGGAGGGGAACGAAATGCTGCCTGCATGTGCATACATGTGGAACACTAGTATTTCCTAGCTGTTGAGTGATCATGTTTCTGATGTTGATGTGCTCCTACTGTTTGTCGGTGCCTTTGGATGTAGGTATATGTTTATTTTGTCTCCCAACTTCCCTCGAGATTGACAGTGATGGCATTAAGACACCATTTATAATCTCAGTTTGGCAATCGGATTCTGTTAGCCTAAACAAGGGATAATAGCCAGAGTTTGTTCTATGTAGTGTTATTTTGTATACTGTTTGTCGATGTATATTTATGTAATAACCCTAGTCTGCAGATCCTATCTGGTGAACAGAATGATCTGTCCAACATCCTCTGTGCTAACATCTTTCTCCTTTGATAAGGGAAGGGAAAGGGTTACAAGAGCCTCTTTGCATCAAGTCGTATGTAAAGGGATGCTTGCATAGCCCTTCCTGATGCAGCATGTGCATTGGTACCTTGAGGAGAACTGCTGCCTTTTGCTCGTGTATCAGTATTTTTCCACCTAAGTGACAAAAAGAAGCTGAGGTGTACAGCTACTCTTCCTCAGTGTGTGCAGGAAAGCTTGTGGGATCAGGCAGGGCTCTCCTGCTGTTTCTGCTGTTCCTCCAGTATGTACAAATTTATGAGTGGAGATTAAAGGGACTCAAGGAACTGAACACTTTCCTTATTGAAATATAAAGTAAAGAAAGAACTAGGAATTAATGGGAGACTACTGCAACAGATTATATGGCTGTGAAGGACAGTAATAGTAAATCCACTAAGAGATGATGTAAACAGAGCAGGTATCATTATCCTGACTTACCAACCAGGGCAAGGTCATAAAATGTGAACCAGATACCAGAATACAAGCTTGACTGCATCTCTCCTACCCTCGTATTAGTCTGCTTATGGTTGAGTCTTATGCTAGCTTTATGTTGGTTAAAAACAAGAAGAAAAGGGCAGGGGAAGAGACTACATAAAGTGCAAAATAAGGGTGAAAAGGGCTTTGCAGTGCTAGAAGGAGCAAAACAAGGGAGTCTGTTTGCAAAGGGACTGATGGAGAAGCCATGTGAAATGGTAACTGCAGCCTTTGAAACTCTCACTAGAAAGAATTGAGAATATTGCTGGAAGCTAAATGACACATTAGCATCCTCTGCTGACCAGGCATAGGCTCTGGCACTCTAGAGGTGGACAAGGCCATCTAGGTGCAGTTGGAAGCACAGGTTTCCTGGTTTGACCTGGGATTAATCAAGGTTAAAGTAAAAGAGGATGCTGTAGCAGGTTTGTGATCTCATGAGCTCAGCTTTCAGAATGCATTGTAGTTACCCCTCTAGAAATGAAGGCTGCGAGTGCAGAGCGACTACGAAGAAATGTCACTTTGTAGGTGAAATAATCTGTTAAACAGACATAGCTCTTGTACACTTGTATTGTCTCCAAGAGACACAGCAGACTGATTGAGAAGCGTGGGCAAATGGGTGCCCCCAGGTAGAGTTTTGGGGAGGTGGAGAACAGTGTCCCTCTGTGCACTCCTTTCTGTCACACTTGACAAAAAGATCCTTCTTAACACATGCACATGGGATGATTTATTTAAAGCACCCATTTTTTTCAAAGCAAATGAAAACATTTCTGTGTGAGTTTTGTGTGCAGTTCTGGTGTTCTCAACATAAAAAGGACATGGAACTGTTGGAACAAGTCCAGAGGAGGCCACGAGAATGATCAGGGGCTGGAGCACCTCCTGTATGAAGACAGGCTGAGAAAGTTGGGACTGTTCAGCCTGGAGAAGAGAAGGCTGCATGGAGACCTCATAGCAGCCTTCCAGTATCTGAAGGGGGCCTATAGGGATGCTGGGGAGGGACTCTTCATTAGGGACTGTAGTGATAGGACAAGGGGTAATGGGTTAAAACTTGAACAAGGGAAGTTTAGATTGGGTATTTACTGTGAGGGTGGTAAGGCACTGGAATGGGTTGCCCAGGGAAGTTGTGAATGCTCCATCCCTGGCATTGTTCAAGTCCAGGCTGGACAGAGCCTTGGGTGACGTGGTTTAGTACTTGAGGCATCCCTGCCCATGGCAGGGGGTTGGAACTGGATGATCTTAAGGTCCTTTCCAACTCAAACCATTCTGTGATTCTTTGATTCTGTGAATTTAAAAGTAAATGCAGAGCCAAGATGAATCACTGGTTATGTGCTATGGAGTCAGGACAACACAGCATTTTAATTTGTTTAAAAATAATAATCTGGAAATCCACATTTTGATAAAAATACACCACTTTGGTTGGTGGTCGTGCATCACAGTTCCCTGCTGGAAATACTTCTCCAGCTCTTCACCCATGGGCCTTGGAAGGGTTATGAGGAAATGAAGCAGTGTACTTTGGAGCACCAATGGAGATGAGTCTCCTGTCACAGTATAAGACACCAGAAACATCTGTAGGACATAAAAAATAGGCCAAAATATCTGTGGAACAAAAAAACTGGGGAACTATGTCTCTATGGGAAATGCAGTGGGGTGCAGAGTGGTGTAAACCAGTTAACCAAAGATCTAAAGCAGACTGGGAGACCTGGTTACAGCAGTTGGAAGAGAGGAAGGAAAAGTACATAGCAACAGTACTGCTTCAGTTTTAAGAAAGGCAAATAACTCTGGACACAAGCAATTGGTTTATCGTGTCAAGATGGTGTTATCAAGTCTGGTGGCTGCAGGACTAGGTGATCTGGTCTCAAGAAGAAATTCTGAGTTAACTGTTTCTTTGAAGTTACTTTTCGTGCGTGTGTTGGATAAGAGGATTATTGACACTGTGGGATCATGGAAAAACCCTTCTTCTAATCCACCCAAAAAAAGAGGAAGAGAAATTGTACTATCTGGGAACAAACAACATGGAGGTGACTGGGAAGGCTGATGAGTTTAAGTAGAAACAGACATCAAAATTAAAACCCGTAGAATCTGTTTTACCATATCTTAATTTGAAGGAAATCAGGGTGGTTAATGCTGGAGATACATTTGCCTTCACTGTAAACAGCCTGCCTTATCGCTTGGCTAGATTTCGTTGCACAGCAGGGTGAAGAGAGACCTCTTTATCTCACAGGAGACAGTCTTCTCCTGGCAGCCAGAAAGCAGATTTGACACCCCCAGACCGAACCCGAACTGAATAGCCAAGTCCAGCCCTCCAAGCAGAGTTTGGAAATCTAGTGTGACACAAAGATTTAAGCAAGAAGAAAGTAGTACAGGGAGGGTGATTTTATTTAAGGGGGATTTTCATGAAAAGAAAGACTGGATTGTCCAGAAGGATGAGTCAGTCCAGAAAATCGACAAAATCTCCATGTTGTATTGATTCCTTTCAAATAGTACTACCAATGGAAAAATAGCAACATTTCCTCATAGGTTTACTCACCATCTTCCCATTAAAAGTCCATTTATTTTGTCTTTCTCCTCTTAGCTACGAGCCAGGAAGATGAAGTGCTGCCTTCTCTCTGTTGCTTTGGCTGTTCTGCTGTTCATCGTCATAATCATCGCAGTCTCAGTCAAGGGTTGATCTGGCTACAGTTTCCACAGGTAAAAGCCTTTACCTAAGTCTTTTATCACACTCTAAGATGGTTGGGAGATAGCTTAAGCAGCTGATTATGGTAAGAAAATTTGATCTTAGCTTGCAGATTCAGGTCTGGCCTATGAAAATAATTTCCTTTAAAGGGTATTTGGACTCAGAAATAACATCCTTAGTGGGTCCTTAAAAGTCAGCCAAGGTGATATTGATATTCAAACAAACCATCTTATTACCCTTTTTTCTGTTGTTTGTGCTGTTTGATTTTATATGGGTCTCATGACAATGCTAATTAATGAATCAGAAATTGATACTAATTAGAGATGCAGAAGATACGTTAAAGACCCCAGATTGAAGCAGGGCTGGGGGCAATCCAACGGATATGTTGATATGTTCCAAAGTGCATCTAGCTTCTGGGATGTTTCAAAGGTACCCTGGAGCCAAGCTCTCCTGAGGAGTAGGAAGACAAAACAACTGAAGATTGCAGTATGGGCAAAAATAACAATAGGTTTCTAGCGATCTTTGCTCTGGATCCAACCCTTGAAGGAGTATTGGTCTGTAGTAGGGAGACTGGGCTGTAACCAACGCAGGTGAGACATCAAAGCAACTTCATCCCTATAGTTTAAGCTATAGTATGTTTTCTTTCTTTTCCCTTTTCTTCCCCCTCACTACTCTAGGAGAATGACTCCTAAGTTATTTCTGATAATCTCAGTCTGATAGAAAGCATTTCTGGGTGTCTGTTTCTTTAGAAGGTGGCCAGGCCTTATTCGAAGAGAGATTATCAGATTTACAAATTTCTACCACCTAATGGGTTGTGGCCTTAAAGGTCTGTATGCCTGCTGCTATGGCAGGGTTTCCAACAGGTGAAGCTGGAGCCCAAGAGTACCAATGGGGCTTGGCTTGCAGACCCCAAGTAGGAGCCCTGAGGCAGAAAACAGTCATGGATGGGGACAATTTTTAGTTTAGAGACCTCTCAAGTCCCACGGAGACTTTCATAAAGCACGTGTGAAATCACTCCTGTACTTAGTAGATACTGCATTATCCTGAGGCTCACTGGGACCTTTTACAGCAATTTAAGCAGAGATTTCTTAGCCTGAACTATCCTCTGGAACTACCCTAGAAAAAGCACAAAGGATTGACAGAGTTTATCTATTTTGTTTTACAAGATTTCAGTGCTACTTGACCATGCCGTCCTTCCCCTTGAGGATGGAGTCATTGCCTATTAGAATGTACAATGTACTGTCTGTCTGCTTTGTGCTCTCAACTGAAACTAGCAGGGGTTGCTGCAAAACAGTCACAGAAAGACGATTCTTCACATAAGGTGTATTTAACCTTTGGACTCCTTCTAGCATGACATATGGGATACCAAAATTTGAGTACAAGAAGGAATTGTACAAATCCATGGAAGAAAAAGGAAATCTGTTGAAGGATGTTACATACCATCTCACTGGGTTTGGATGAGGATAATCATGAACCCCATATTATTGCTATGGCCGTAAATATTTTCTTGCACTTGCATGCTTACTTAGGTGTTTTGCAAGCACTAAAGTTAATAGGGTATCAGTGAGATGGACCTTTAGATTGGTTGACTATGGATGTTCTTACTGCATATATATATATATTATACATATATTTTTGTCCTTCTTTTACACAAGACACTGCTTATGAGTGCAGATAGCTATCTGTCCTGATGATTTAAATCTAGAGCAACTACAGTGATTCTAATTGCATTACTCTGGTTTTATTCTGCATTAGTCTGGTTTGAAATGTGATTCATCGTGATAATCTATGCTACAATGCAATTTCTTCTATATATAGTTAAATATTCCTATGTACTAAAAATCACAAATCTTATCAACAGCTGACTAAATCTAGACACATTTTTATATAAATCGCTTAAGTGGAGAAAGAACTGAAATGTTCTTACAGTAAAACTCCATTGGAAAACTGAAGTTAATCTTCTGCTAAGAGATCCTTGTCTTGAAGGAAGTGAACCTAGAGATGCTAATGAAAGCCCTAGGAAAAATATAATGCTGTACTCTTCATCATCAGTTGTGAAACTAATTATGAAGCTTCTAAAACTCTGCAGCAGTACAAATGCAGGAAGAACCTGTGTTGAGTTATATTGGAACAAGTATGCTTTCTGTTGGTTACAAACTATTCGTGATCTAGGTTGACAGCAAATGGCGTACAGCAAATTTCACATTTATATTTTGGAGGTTTCTGAAACAGAATTTCCATGTTCATAGTGAACATTTTTTTCTATTCTGAACTGCAGTGCAAATGGATTTTAAAATATCAGGGGATTTAAAGTTTCAACTACCTCAACAAACTGTATCATATAAAACTGTCTTACATACTTCAGGGAGATAGAGAACATCTGGGCTTCAATGTATAACAGCTCTACATGACCATTCAGAGAAAATAAAGGGAAGAAAGCAAGCTAGGGAACTAGTTACAAAATACTCTTACTGGCACACTGAATAAAAACCCAAGTTTAGTAATGACTTGCCAGAACTTCCATTTAACATGTCATCAGAGAATTTGCTCTGTGCTGGATCAGGAAGGAACCAACAGAAACAGCACCAGCCACCCAATTCAAGTGGTTTAAGTTGCACGATATTCAAGGTAGGCATCCTTAGCTTTCATAAGCGCAGCCATGATGAGAAATCTGAAGTTCACTATTCAGTTAGTTAGAGAAATTATTCTATTCTATATTATTAGAACTATTCTATGAAATTATTCCATTAGTGTTTACGGTAATAGAATGATAGAATCACAGAATGGTTTGGGTTGGAAAGGACCTTAAGATCATCCAGTTCCAACCCCCTGCCATGGGCAGGGACACCTCACACCAGACCATGTCACCCAGGGCTCTGTCCAACCTGGCTTTGAACACTGCCAGGGATGGAGCATTCACAACTTCTTTGGGCACTCTGTGCCAGCACCACAGCACCCTCTGTCCTGGGTTCAGCAGTAGCAGTCATTTTTCTCCTCCTTAGTAGCTGGTGCAGTGCTGTGTTTTGACTTTCAGCCTCAGAACAACGCTGGTAACACCGATGTTTTTAGTTGGTGCTTAGTAATGTTTACTCTGACCAAGGACTTCGTGAGTCTCCTGCTCTGCCAGGGAGAAGAGGAAACTGGGAGGAAGCAGAGACAGGACACCTGACCCAAACTAGCCAAAGAGGTGTTCCATACCACAGCATGTCATGACCAGGATGTAGATCTGGGGACTGTTACCCAGAAGGGGTAGATCACTGCTCAGGTCAGGCTGGGTATCAGTCTTTGGGTGGTGAGCAGTTGTAATCTCTTCCCTCGTTATTTCCCTTATCATTATCATTATTGGTGGTAGCAGCAGTGGTTTGTGTTATACCTTAGTTACTGGACTGTTCTGATCTCAACGTGTGGGAGTTACAGTCTTTCAATTGCCTCCCCATCCCTCCTGGAGAGAGGGGAGGAGGAAGTGGGGGGGAGTGAGAGAGTGACTACATGGTTCTGAGTGAAAGGCTGGGCTTAAACCATGACACCCTCACAGTAAAGAACTTCTTCCTTATCTCCAGCCTGAACTTCCCCTGGTTCAGTTTGAACCCATCACCCCTTGTCCTATCACTGCAGTCCCTGATGAAGAGTCCCTCTCCAGCATCCTTGTAGCCCCCTTCAGACACTGGAAGCTGCTCTGATGTCTCCATGCAACTTCTCCAGGCTGAACAGCCCCAGCTTTCTCAGCACTGAAGATCGTTATGTTCAGTAGCACTGTTAAGATTGTTCTGATCAGTCTTCTTCCTTTTTATTTTGTTCCTGTTCCTACTTTTGCAGTAATGATACTGAGTCAATGGTTCTTTTTAAAAGGACAAAAAAAGCTGTGTTTTTCCCCCCTCCCCCACAAATCAGACATGACTTTGACAGGCAAACCCATTCCTTGTATAGGAAAGATCACTTCATGAATCGTGACAAACAAAAAGGGCTTTTTCTTGTGAGTTTCTCAAGCAGCGGTTGAGCATCATTGGCTGCTGGCTCGGTGCATGCAGAGGGACCAGCTGTTCAGGAGAGCTCCGAGCCCTGTTTTTTTCCTGTTGAGGCCCCTGCCATAAGTATGTCACTGCTCCCTTGGGGCTCTTTTGTCTGGCAGAGAGAGAGAAGAACATCTACAAAGAAACTCCTGGGGACTTATGTCTGTACGTTTGTTTGCTGACACCTTAGGAAAATAGCCCAGGAACTTTTGGGTCACATTGCTCATATTTTAGCAACACTGCAGCTGCTCTTCTTTTCTGTTAGAGTACATCAGTAACCATTTAAAAGGACATATTGCTGTAGCAGTCTGAAAGAAATCCGTCCTTTAACAATGTCTTTTTATGGCGTCAAGATTTCTTATCCTAGATAAACCTTCTGTGTTCTCCTCCTTTTGACTCATTTGTATGAGTGCACAATTACACAAGATAAGTGATGGTCAAGACTGTTGGCTTCCTAAGTCTTAAGCATTCTTTGTAGGAAAAAAGAGGTGACACTTTGAGAAAAATGCTACGTGTATTTGACAGTTAGAAAATATGCTTTACTGTGACAGCTTGATCAACTCAGTCCAGCTGACCAAAGAAAGAGAGAATGAAAGATGACTTGTCTGTTCTGCGCCCTTTCCTTGTGGAATTCATTGCAGCAGAAGGTGCCTTCCCATTAAACAAGATACACTTCTGTCTGACAAAGTTACTGGACTACTGAGGATTTTGTTTAGAGTCCTTAAATGCTGTGGACTCCTGTTCTTTCCAGCCTTGGAATCTGTCAGTGAATAAAGAGGTGAGAGCCCAGAAGAGTGAAAGTGTTTCCCTTCATGGTAACTGATGCAATGGCTGACAACAATGCTCAGTTATAGAAGAGCAGAACAAGAGGAAATCGTATAAGTTATCATTCAGCAGAATATTCTCCTAGCCTTAATCAGCTTGAAACTTGAAGGTTTCCTGATCCAGGAAGTAACTATTTGATCTTTGGCAACCATTGATGCATTCCTTTCCTGTTCATTTGA